CTGGTGGGGGGTGAGGGGCGTGGGGTGGCTGGGGTCTGGGCCGCACGCCGGGGCGTTGCACAGGAGCGGTTTGGGGCTCGCAAAAGCAGCAGAACGGAGCGGGATGTGGCGTCACGGCCTTTGTTTCTCCTCTGTTGGTGCTAGTTTGGGAGGCCTGCGCCTGCTCTCCGTTCAGGCACGGCCAAAGGGCAAGCACCTGAGCGTTGCTGGGCAGGCAGAGCCCTCTGCAGAACTGTGTTCAGATTTGCATGCTAATAAATAAAATGCTGAAAAAGAAGGGGGGGGGGGAGGTGAGGCAACGTATCAGAATGAAGTAAGAAGTATCTAACAATTTCAATCTAGAGAAATGTTGACAAAGATGTGGGAGGATTAGACTTGCAAGACTTACACAGAAACATTCCAGGAGTTAAATGTATCTAACCTGGCTAAGCAATGCTAAATAGGGGGCATGACAGACACAAGGATTTGAAGAGTCCCAGGGGGAGAGGGACTATCAGAGGCAGTAGTAGTGCCACTTTGTCTCTCTTCTTGGACTGCTGCTGCATCTTTGTTAAGGTTTATGTCAAAGAGTTTAGTGAAGACATGCCTAAGATTTTAGTTCCCGTTGTAACTGCGACAGTTCCCAGTCTGACATGGTTCTGGAGAGGGCTCACTTTGTACTTAGTGCATCGTGTTCAGAAGGAAAAATCAGATCACTACAGTAGAAACAGAGCCGCAGGACTGCCCTAGCAGCATTTTGACCATGTACTTTTGCTTCTTTTGAGAGACTGCAGCACCCTTCTGGAAGTGTATAGACAAGACTGTATTTCAAGAGAGGCATTAATCTTAAAAACATTTTTACATCGGTTAAACTCCAGAATAAATAATGTCAAGCATGTGTCATATGTTCTCCTCCTTTGTACAGCCTAACCATTCCATCAGCTTTCTTTGCCTCCCCACATCGCCCCTCGCCCCCAACCAGGACGACATTGCCCTGATCAGAGATGAAGTTACACATTTCAGCAGAACTGGACAGGTTTTAGCCTTCAGAGTCACATTATTCATTTGAAGTTCATGTTTAACGAATGGTCTCTCTTCTCTGTTAGTGTTTGTAGTGGACATCAGTAGAAATCAACATGTATCCCTGCGGGAAGAAGAACAGTCACTGAAGTGCTATGAATTACAAAACAAAGGTGGTTCTTTTGTTTGGGTGGTTTTGTTGTGGGTTTGTTTTTTTTTAATTTCAACTCAGTCCTGGTGTTAAAGGTCAGAAAAGCTACTGAAAACAGCTTAGCCTTAGAAGCAATGAGTTTTATTAAATGCTTTCCTTTGACCTTTGCAAAAGAGACCCATCTTTCCCTGAGTGCTATGCTTTTGCACCATGCTAGCAACAGAAGGGACATCTAAAGATCATACAGACTTTCCAAGAAAGTTCATCTGAGCCTGGAGGCAACTAGGCAATCATCACAAGGTGGAATTATTTTTTACCTAATTTAAGACACTTAAGAATTAGCCATCTAATCTAAATTTGGCTTTACGGCTTCCCAGTTGCTGGTGCATAGACAGCGAGGAACCTGCAGAGAGCAGCCCATCACAGTCTATTGTGGTTATCTATGAAAAGTGGGAAGAATTGTCTTTCTTGCTATTGACAATAGCAAATAGACTAGGACTGAAAGTGGAGACTGTAAAACTAGCTTTAAATAGGAAGGAATCCTGCTCGTGTTGATAGGGTATAAAAATTCTGTGTCCTCTCTCATTCCTAGTTACTGGCGAGGAGACTGATTGGAGAAAGTGAGGTGGGGAATGGGCCTCACAGAACCACTCAAATCGTTCACTCATAATTAGCCTACAAGGTTATCAGCAACTAGTGCCACTGACAGCAGTCTCCAAGCAATTATATTTTGTAGGGACTGCATAGCTGGCTGCTGACAGGTATGTGGGATGCAAAGAAAGATTAAAAACAACCTTCGCATTTCCTTTCCCGAGCTGTGCTTTGTGCTTAGCCACAAGCAAGGGTTGCAGACTGTCTCTGCAAAGCTGGAATTCACTAAGAAGTTGGTAAACAAGTGGGGAAATGTGACAGGCTTATCCATTTTCTGGGAGTTTGTTTGCCAGCAATGTCCTTGTACCGATTAACTGTCTAGCAAGATTGTGTATGTTCCAACCATGGGCTAGAGAGTGTTGCGAGAGGCACAGAATACAGCATGATGTGGAGAAGCACAAAGAAGGCAAAGAATATTTTCTGAGAGCTCATTAACTACTTTTGATGACTAGCCTTAGTCATTATCACCAATTATTAACAAAAGCTAGTGCACAAAATCGAATTAACCGCCCTCTCTCTTCGACTGTTCCTGTTAAATTCAGCCGGACTGCGTGGGTAGCAATAACTCTAATTTGATTTGATTGGCCAAACTTGAATGAAATGTTAAAGGTAAAACTGTTTTCACACTGACTTGCAACACATAAGGGTGAGCAAGCTGTGTGTTTGATCACTCCATGGTTATGTATTTAATTCAGTTCTGGCTTTTCCTCTCAAAGAAAGAGAAATCTGTTTCTAATAGGATTTTACCATTATTACAGATCTCATTTTAAACCCAAGGCTTCTTACTGCTTAACTAGCTGAAATCCAGTAGGTTTCTTATACAAACAGAAGGTGAATAAATGCCTAGCCAAAAAAGAGGAATAACCTTTTCATAAGAGTGTCAAAATCTCACCTGTACAATTGTAATGTGAGGTCTCGTCAGGGTAACATTGGCCAGATTGGGAAGAGGGAATCCTTTTGACAGTTTAGCTGAAAAAAAAGACAAGCACAATGATTTAGGTGTGCATTGGAAAGATAATAAATACCTGCCCTTCAACAGTTCTGTTCATCGAGACATTTTTAGGTCATTTGCAACAATTAACCTCTTAGTCTTCGCAAGCAACCCTGGGAGGTAGATATGAGAATCATTTACCGAAGGGGAAAAAGAATTAGAGGTGCTTTCCTCTTGGCAGAGTGTTGCAGCCAAACCAAGGCATTCCACGTTCCACATGTTACGTACTCAGTGATTTGTCCCTCATGACCTGGGGGATTGCTAATACAGCTCTAGCATCACTAGAACCTGTTCCTGTTTGTCTCTATTAATTAAGAAAAGTGAAGTTCATCCCGGCTCAGAGGGCTGGCACAAAGCTATGTCTCCCTCCATAGTCTTAAATAAGATCTATGACAGTCAAAAGCCCTGTGCTGGTCTATTAAAGATGGATACGTTTCCCAGGCAGTGGGCTCAGGCAGGTGTGCAGACTAGAGACATGCTTCTCACTGATGCATCAAGGCCACCTTGAGCGAGGTGAAGGCAGAGGAGTTACGAGTTTCCAAGCCCTTTTTGCCCTGGACTTCTCTGCTGGCACTGCAGAACAGTGAGAGGGGGCACTTACACCTCTACAGATCAGTCTCCCCTTTCCACTACTTGCTGGCTGATGGTCATTTTCCGCTCAAGTTAGTGGGAACTGGAAACTTAAGCAGAAAGCAGAAATTCCTAGAATCACCCACTCCGCTGGAAGCTTTTAGCTTAGAAATACAGCCTTACCATTAGCTGATGGAATGACTTCAGTCTGTAAAATGTAAGACAGGATGTTCTCCAGAAGCGAAGTCTGCCACAAACAAGAAAACTGAGTTAGCCATCGCTTCCTGATGGCAGTGGAACTGTCATACCCTAATCCTGGATGGAGTTAGTAGGCTCATGTTCAACTTTCAGCTGTCATTCGACCCAAAAGAGTCATAAGCTCAGATGAGCTTTCGATCTTAGGTCTTCAGGATGATGCAAAGGAAGTGAGATGCAAAATGCAAATGGCTTTCATCATGCTTGGACAACATTTTCATTTAAAACAGTCTATTTCCTGTATTTGTGAGATAATTTATCACCCAGAGCAAAGCAGGACCAGGACAGTATTAATCCTTCCTCCTCAGCTACTCAGAACTGATTGATTATACTCAGAATTAAATGACTCTCTGCGGAGGGACGGCTTTCCCCTGTAAGCCTACAACTGCGCTATTTCAGGCATCTGAGAGCAATATTTTGGATCCCATTCCCTGCTGTAACCCTGAGCATCTGTGACGAGCACCGCTGCACCACGCGGAGTGCCTCTGCCTCAGTCGTGCGTGCGATCGCTCAGACAGCACGCTGCCCTGTCTGCTGCTACGGTTCAGATGACCACTGTGCGCTTCACCGTTATGATTCGAGAGATCTCTCTGCTTACCGATGAAATATGGTATGGCAGTCAGGGGAACTACAGAATATCGCATCTTCAGAGCACTAACTTTCCCCAAAGAATTTACTTTTAAGCCCACAGCAGAGAGGTGGCTGCCAGAAGGCGGGAAAAGAGCCACCCAGGAATGAAGCCAAATGATTTAGAAATAGAAATAAAATTTAGCTGCTTACTCTTTAGCTTTGAAAGCACTGATATGCCTGGTTTGCATTTCCTCTGTTCTTAAACTATCCGCTTACCTCGAAGAAGCCAACATTGGAGTGGGCTAGGGAGAACTGGAGCCTGAGGGACAGAAATGAAACAAGATGAGTCGCTAGAAAGGATAGACACATGTTATTCTAGTTATGTGCAGTCACTGCTGTAGAGCTCCAGCCCTTAAGAGACCTCTGTAAAGAGACTTTGGAACCGATATATTTTACACAATGCATACTGCCTCTTGGAGAAAGAGGTAGTTTTCTTAGGGCATTGCAGAGCATGCATGCAAAAGAGTGTGCTAGAGGGGCTGCAGCCAGCAATGTGAGTGCGCTTCTCCCTCTGTGCTGTATTTTGGAAATCCTACTGACAATTGACTTTAGCAGGGCTAGCATCAAGGACTTGCAGGCTCTCTGATACTTTGCAAGGATTTTGGTACATCTACGTAATGCTTTGATGCAAGCCTTACCGGGGTGGGAAGAAAAATTCTGTTCATCCTTTGGTACTGCTGCTGATAGCTGTGTTGCTAATGTCTCTGTTTCCAAATTCAAATAGTTATTCAGTACATATTCAAGTATCCAAACATGTATTCAACACATGATTTCTGAGATTCCACAGAACCAGCATCCCAGCTCACAGCACACTCTAGATTTTTCTCTCTGAATGTTGCTGGAAAAAATGCTAACAGCGCTGTCATCCTTAAATTCCTAACATCTCTGTGCCCTGACGAACTCTGCATGTTCTTAACCCTGTAACTGCCTTTCCGAGGGTCTTTAGTGAAGTCAGAGTCCCAGTTCCCAGCTGTAAGGTCCTGGTATACAGAGCTTCTCTCTATAAAATGCGACATGTTAGATGTCTAAATGCCTAAGCCTCTGGTCTCCAGCTTTCTGACCCTCGGGAGCTGCAGTGCCTTAGCTGGAGAATCACTGCTACAGGAGTATCAGCGTAGGGGAACTACAGGGGTCCAGATTCTTTATCGTGTCCTGGACCCCTCTGTGCTTTCCCAGTGGCACAGGTGGGCTAGAAAGCAGTTGCATCTTGCCAGCTGGAAAGGGTTGAGGGAGGCTCTCAGATGATTCATGGTTACCATAACTCCCCTGCACGCTTCATTTATCTAGCTCAGAGGAGAGAGCAGGTGTAAAGAGCTGAGGAGTCCAATGAGACCACTGCCCTGCAGCAGCCCACAGCTGGTGGGCAGTCCCTTGGGGACTGTGGCAGTTGGCACAGAGAAGCTTCCTGACTTCTCTAAACTGTACAAGTATAGCCAAGTAGAAAATTATAGAGTCTAATGCAGATGAAAACACAGGGGAAACTCATTCATAATTATCTGATCATGTGCCTAAACTGCTAATGTTGCGATTGCGAACGCTGTTTTCCAAATGTCTGGAAATCCTTTCCATCCCAGGATGAATTACCTGTTCAAACATAGTGAGCCCATCAATTTTTGGTCAAATATATTCAGAGCAAAGCTGGTATTGGCTGCCTGCAGAAGAAAGAAACCATGGGTTATCAGACACAACACCCCAGGATCCTTGCTTTGAATGAGTCACAAA